TAAAAATTGTATAAAACTATTCAGGAGACGTACAAGGGGAGATGAATTTATATTTTTGATACATTTATATAATAAATGGCATTTAAGAAACTAATGATTGCCTTAAAGTCGGTATTTTTCAGAAAAAAAATTATTTTTTATTGGCCAGTTAGAAGGCTTTGAGCCTACCAGAATATGGATGAAAAATTTCATTACATGAACAAAATTCTTTACGTGAATCTTCGCGAACCTCCTCGAGCGCTTCGAAAAGTCCTACTGTGTCAAATGAATCCATGCTGGGAAATTACAGTGTAAACTCTCACCTATTGATTTGTAGCTTCTTTATACATTAATAATTGTGTATGTTAATTCAAAAGCATATCCAAACAAGAAATAGTTAACATGGGTTCATCGACAGACAGTTGAGACTTGCAACTTTTTTTGGCACTTTCCAATATGTGAAATGTAAACCGGCGACTGCATCTTTGACGAATATGGCAAACTCGGCAGAAAATCTTCGAGAAAAGATAAAGAGGAGAAATTTTGAAAATATGGTGAGCCACGGGCACTTCATCCTTCTCTATGCTATTCTATTTTATATAATCCTACAATTATTCATATAAGGATTTTTCAAATGAGCAGTGGTCGAAAAAATGGTCCGAGCCGAACCATTTTCGAGCGCAGACAGGCGGACGGGCAGACATGCTTAGGGCGATGCAAAAAGTGATTCTGAATCGATCGTTAAAATAAAAAGGAGACCTATCTCAATTTCTTCTGAGTGTTGTATGCAGCCACACAAACTTAATATGCCCTAGTAACACAAGTGATCCCTACAAAAAAACAAAGTCTACTCTACAAAAACATATTCAACACGCAGTTCAAAAATTGAAGCGGAGTTTTCTTGAGGCACGATTATTTCAAAATATCAAGCAGCATAACTCAACAAGCAAACTACAATACCTTTAAAATAGCGTTTTAATGAAGGGTACGGAAGTGATTTCCGACAAAGTAATTTAAACATTACTTATTAGTAAACGATTGTCTTCATTGGTCAAAAATTCAATTTCTCGCTTCAAATACTCATCAATCACACGAAAATCGTCATATTCCCCTACGTAATAAATCTTAGGTCACTGTCTATTTATGCAATGCAAAAGTCTTTGTGGTTCTTTCAATCAGCAATTGATAGCACTTTTAAACTAAAAATGGACGAATAATATCAACGTCGAGTTTCACATCAGGAGCATGCCTAGCAGAGCCAATTAAATGTACACTTAATTAGCTTAGTGAGGACAACCTGCGCATCTTCTAGGCATTTCTTATACATTTGCACTTAAACACAACGACTGCAACTATTTAACCATATCACTGAGTGTTTTCTTATTTTCATTTAATAATCTTGTATTTACAATCAAAACTACAAAAAAGTTTTTGTCAACACATTCTCTTAAGGAAATATCTACACACACACACACACACATTAAAGCTAATCACATTAAGACTTTAAGATTTTTTAATATATTTATCAGCTTTTTCAGATGAATCACAGATTTCACTGTAGACGCTGAAATTAAAAGAAAATGATTAAACCGTTATTTTTCATCTTTTTCTTTGTGTTCATGCACATGAATTCACGATTAGTCTGGACAATATAATGTTAGGAAAGAAGTATCAAGGGAAAAAACCGTTAGGAGTAAGTACAAGGCTTGAGTTGCCGCTTTTTAAAAGTCCGCGTATAAGGGCTAAATCGTCAGGTGTCAACGCCCAACCGCTTAACTGCCCTACGGTTTGCAATTCCGGACATCTATCCATTAAAATCTAGAAATTTCATTTATGAAAATTTTACAATAACAATTTTATAACATTAAAAAATACGTACCTCAATGGATTGCACAGTCAAATTTGGCGCTAAAGTAAACCAAATATCCTCCAAATCATTGAAATCATGCTCAATGAATATGCTGTAAATAATATAGAAAATAGAAATACGCATATTAAAATTGATTTAGATCACGCACTCCCGATATCCAACACCTTTAGCTCTTGAAACAGCATTCTCTCCCAATTAGCCCATTTACCAAGAAAGCGTAAATTATGATTATATTAGTTAATCTATCAATACCATAATGCTCTACATCGCTTGAGCTATAGGGGTTAAGTTTGCGAGGATGTATACAACATCCAAAAGGATTTGAAAACGACTTTCTGAAGCTTGTGCGTCCGTCTATGCGTGTGGTATACTTATATTCTATCTACTAGGCACTAATTTTTGAGATATTTCAACGAAATTTGGCATATCGATGTGTTTTGGTCCAAGGGAGATTGCTATGGATAATGGTTCGCATCGGTCCATTTTTTCGACCACTCCCCACATAACGTCTTATTACGAAAAATTGCAATTTTCAAAATTTTTCGCCATTTTAAATTGGTATGAAAAATATGGTTTGGCTGAGGAACTTTTTTAAATTCTCTCTCCTGTAACCATTCCTACGAATCTTTGTACAGTGAAAAGGTATCATTTTCAATAATTCATAGTGAAACCTGCTTCATAAGAGTAAAATGATAAAAAATATCAACCTAACCAAATTTGGACTACGTAGATCTAGTCTTTGGATATCTCCACATATAAGGCCCATCTTAATAAGATGGCACAGCGAGAAAAATACTATATTTTGGCCAACAATATCAAATTGTTACAATGGGAAAACTTTGCTCTAAATGATCGAAAATGAAATACACGTAGAATACAGTCTAAATAAGGACGGTATATATATATATATATATTTCTCATCTTTTGTAGTGGATTTAAAACAAAATGTTCTCTACAAATTCTAACCTTAAGTATGCCAATAATACTTACCTAACAATATCTTCATCATTAAAAGTAACGCTATCCACCGCCAAACGTTTAAGTTGCGTAACACTGCAAATCAGCGCTTTTAGAGAGGTGTTTGTAATCGGACAACTTAACATCTCCAATCCTTCCAGATGAATGAAACGCTTTTGACCACTGGTGTAAACCAATCTATCCATCATATAACAATCCAAATCGACTAATAGAGGACATATATAAGCTAAACGATCCAACGCTAATTCTCCATTACCCTTAATCATAGTCAAATGACTTAAGTTTTGACCTATACTTTCCAATAATTTGAAAAGTTCCGCACATGAAAATTTATAAATTTTCAGTTTGCGCAAAAAATGCGAATGAAGTACATGTAAACAGCCAGATTTTGGTGTATCCAAGTAAAGAGATTCCAAATGAGGACAGGTTCTCACTATCGTCTGCAACGTCTCCTCATCTGTACCCGTGTCATGTAAATACTTAAGCTTACATTTGAAATCAGTATTTATATTATCGTAAATGAATTTTAAAGCTGGTCCGACAAACGAATACGTTGACAAGGTTTCAACATTAGGGCAATTTTCCAAAATTAATGCTATATCCGAGTAGCAGATATTCTCCTCTCCTGGCATGCCAACATCGATAACTGTCAAACGATTACTGCACATACCCTTGCTTAGATAATCGATACCTATTTCGGTAATATCTGTTTCTCCCGAAATATCCAATACCTGAAGTCGTTCGCAGTATTTACTTATCACTTCAAGCAAATCATCATTGGCAATATAAGGTACATATAGCTTGGTAAGATATTGACATTTCTTAACAATTTCAAACATATAATTCATATGCTCATTTTTAATCCAGACACCTTTCAAATTGAGCACTCGTAAACCGGTGCCTTGAGCGGCTATCACTTGCAAAATTTTCTCATAATACGAAAACGGAAAAACTTCAGTCATCAAAAATGAGACTCCACTATTAAGTAACATCTGCAAACACGTAAATCGCATATTAGCGTCTAGATAGTCTGAACTGAGTATCACACGCAACAGATCCTGATAAATATTCGAGGTAGCTCCAGCCTGTTCCATATATTCGATTATGTCAACCATAACAACATCAATATCGAGATCTATATCAGGAGCATACTTAGCATAGCCTAATGTCGACACAATCAGATTAGCGAATTCGCCTAAAGAACTATCGCCCAATGATCGAACTATACACTTTTTAGACATTTCTTAGGCATTGAATAAACGGTAAAAAAAACACTTGTTGAATTATGTTTATGCTTGTTGAGCCAATTGGTGAGCTTTCGCTTATTTGTGTTCATAAACTTGGCGTTTAAACCATTTTTTAAAACAAAACAATATGAAAACATTAAGTGTTTTTTATTCATAAATTTTGAAAGCGAAAACATACGTTTAGAAAGCTTTGCAACAATTTTTTTGCCAATGCGCTAAAAATGTTACATCACAAATTTTTATTTTTTCGCATTTTCCAAATGTTTTTTAAAATTTTTATCTTTGCAATATGTGTGAGGCTTTTGAAAAAGAGAAATGTTCAAACTCATTAAATCTTCAAACTTTTTTTTCTTAAAGACACAAAAATTTTATACAATTTGAAAAATTCGAATCTTTATTCCGCGAAATTTTGGGCGAGATCCTTTTAGATGCACACCGATGAATGTACTGAAACTTATAAAGAGCTTTTTTTTAATTTTCAAATATTCTACGGATCATAAGAGAGTCATTCGACATCAATCGTGGAGATGGCTGTCTTCTCATATATACGCAGTATATAGAATACAGAACTGCGTATCCCGTTTCTTTTTCTTTCTTTCTCGTTTGAGCCAAAATATACATTGATCTGTTATTACGAACTACTGTTAACAAAAATTTATATCTACGTAAAGAAGTATATATATGTATATATATATCTATATATATTTTGTATATATCTATATATATTTTGTATATATATCTATATATATTTTGTATATATATATATATATATATATATATATATATGTAGGTTTCTTAAACCAATTTGTTGCTTCTTCATTTCACTATTCTGCACTACCTTCGGTGGAAGTGCTGGCTTCAACATTTAACCTCACGCGTGTTTTTGTTGCAGGCGTATCGTCACTTAAAGTTGCTTGCGATTGATCGGCATCGACAAGTTCTGTAGAAAATGCTGACATTTTTGATGTCGTAGGTAATTGTGTAACACCCAGACGCGCACTTCGTATAGTCGTACCGGGAGTAACACTGTCAAAGGACATTAATTTTCCAAAATAAACATGTTGAATAACAGGATATTTGGACAATATCTGCTAAAAACAATGATTTTTTGTATTATCTAAACTTGCAAATACGTAATGAAATCTATATTTGCCTCTTTTTGATACATTTTAACAAGGCCCAAGTTGATTTTCGACCATGAAGGCACTGCAGATATGCTCCATAACTGATATGAATGTTCCGCAAAATGTCCTGTTTTAACCTGACAACAAAAGTATTTATATATGTTATATATTATTCTAATTCAAAGCATGCATTTATACTTATGTACCTGTTGTATAAAGTCAATACAACTTATAAATATATAATTATTTTTGTGGGTGGTGATGATTTCTTCATCAAGAAATTTAGATGGCGGAAATGGACTTTTATCTTTCGTTTTAAAATATGCAAATAAATAAATATATAAATATACAATAGTGATTGTCTTCTTACATGAAAGTTGAGCACTGCCCCAAATAAACGGTATAAATTGATAGTCATCCAAAGACCAAACACCCTGACTTCCGGCCGGTTCCATACGATAAGTTTTTTGAAGTCGTCGTACAAATAGCAAGTATTCATTGAAAAGAGACAAAGCACACGCCACATTATCCCGCTCTTGTAAAATGCCAGACTTGAAAAGACCGCATAGAAAGAAAACGAAGGACAATTCGTGCCCAGTTCCGTAATCTATACGCACCGCATTGCCAAATGACTCTGATAAGTAAAAACCCAATTCGGTAACATAATTACACTTATCTTCCGGTAAACATTTCTGCAACACGTGAAATATTTCCTACCAAATAAATATAGGAACTATGAGCTTTACTTTAAATTACTTTCATTTAATAGCACTTTTCGCTTACGTGATTCATTTTACGAGACCAAGCTCTAAACGCTTTATTACCAAAGCGTTGCGGTTGATCTATCGGTGGGGTTACATCAACTAAATGATTCAATCTTTCGAAAATTTCCAACAATTTTTTCATGACTTTTGACACGTAATATGCGTCCGTTAGGCTTATACCCTGTACTGCTGTGCTAATTCCATTAATAAAACCCAAGAGGTCGTAAAAAGCTTCCGAACGCAACCAAATTTGAACATCGGACAAATTTTTTACTAATCTTTCGGGCTGAGCAGCACCAACCGCTTCCACTGTTAGGAAAGAAGAGAAATATCCCATTAATGATAGTATTAGTCCTATTAGGAAATTTAACGCTTCTTACATGGAATATTTTTTATGTCAGTTGCAAGCGTTTCCATTGTGTACAGAGATATTGTTTTAAAATAAAAAGAAACTTTCAAAACAAAAACAGCTGACGAAGACGAAATAGTAAATTCTAGCGTTAATACATATTTATTTATGCTATTATCGCTAGTTATCGATGACATCACAAAGTATCATGTAGTCTTACTCGATTATAAGTTAATTGGATTTTGTGGCACCCTACTTTGAATCTAGGTAAAGAATTAGACATAAGGCATTTTCAAAACATGAAAGCAAATGCGCGTTTCTTATTGACAGCGTAATTTTATCCGTAAAACAAATCATCATTCAAGCATAATTTACATAACTATACATTATTGAATCCATCGATTCTGCACAGATTCAAATTGCCGTCGGCAAAAGTTGCCCATTTTCATTAACAATAAATAAACTCTAGAGCACAGGGCTGTTAATCGATACAAAAAAAAAAATGTTAATAATTAGTATTTAATACTGGAAGTTTATTGTTACTTTTGTTACTTTAGAGCGTAAGTGAAAGAGTTTAAGAGAGAAAAACAAAAATATCCTTTATAGGTAGCACGATAAAACTCTCTCTCTCTCTCTCTCTTGACTTAGTTAATCAAAGGCAAAACAAGAGTTACCTAAAACATGTGTTCAATGAATGGCTACTTGTACTTACAAGTTACGCTTAAAGAAAATTATACATTTTATTATTATCTTCGCTTCTAGAATCTTGGTAACCCTTTTTTAGCATATGTGCAAATAAATTTTGGTTAAAACAATTTGAACTGTTTACTTCTTAATATGTTGCAAACTTTATATAGTTTACCGTTTTATATATTGGATCCGCCAAATATAAAACTAAGAATACAAATCGCGAAACCCTCTTCCTTTTTTATATTCTGCTGCATTTTGTTATCATATTTTTTAGTAACTGGAGGTATCTATACACAAAGTTGCGCGCTTGTATTATTTATATCTGTATTTTGCTTTTATTTTGCAGGTATTATTTACGATGTAATCGTTGAGCCGCCAAGCGTCGGCGCAACAGTTGACGAACACGGACATTCTCGACCAGTTGCTTTTATGCCTTATCGAGTTAATGGACAATACATAATGGAGGGCTTGGCCAGCAGTTTCTTGTTTACAATTGGAGGTCTGGGATTTATTATAATGGATCAAACTCATGCTCCTGGCAAAACAAATTTAAATCGCTTACTGCTTACCTCAATGGGTTTCATATTCATACTAGTTTCCTTTTTTACAACTTGGCTGTTCATGCGCATGAAATTACCGAGTTACTTACAACCATAATATCAAGCATGACATTTAATAAATGCTTGATTTAAGACAAAAGAAAAGCTATTAATTAAAAAATATTTTGATTCCTCTGTTAAAATTTTCTCCTTATCAATAATTCTTTACGGTCCATTTCTAGACGCACAAGTAAGTAACGTTTACATTTACTGGTTTTAATAATTTTACCGAGTTTATAACAGGATGCAAGAGTAAGAGGTCAGGCAAATTCCTATTCATCACAAAATTCGCTGCGTGTATATCCGTCTGAATATTTTTAATGGACGTTAAAATCGACGAAAATGATAAAAATTATCGTTCAATTTCGCCACCAGGTTCGGATTGAATTGATTTTGAATTAATGTTACTGAGTTTGAAACTAGTCTGAATTAATCAAAAATTATTATGAAATGGATTCACTTTGAATTTGACAGGCCGATTTCAAAAATTTCAATTATACTGACTTTGAAATAAATTTCAAATGCGTTCGACGAGATTTAAGCTGCTTTAGAGTTGGGTCTTAAATGATTTTGAAACAAAATTTCGTCTGGGTGTAACTAAATCCATTTGAGTTGGACTCGACTCGAGTTAAATTTTAATTGATTTTAAAAGACAAGTGAATATGAACGAATCAGGGCATTTAAGTAAAAATGAAGATTTAGCTTTATTTCGATTTTTATAATTTCATTCTTTCATTGCATTTTCTTTGTAGAACTTGAGATATCAAGTCCACTTTACTTTATTTCAAATTATTGCACATTTTAAAGAACAAACGATAATGAAAAAAAAATCTTGTAGTGTAAGACATATGGAAATTTCTAAAATGAAAAATCATAGAAATTGTGTGAACATTTTCTGTAATAAAATAAGTAAGCGTGCTGATCACAAATATGTGGTACGAAATAAGTTCTTTGGAAAGACTATGTAACCATGTATTTTTTACTTCTCCTTTTTGTACTTTTCTTCTTGCGTAGTTTCGCCACCCTTTTTTTCTCTCTTATTTTGCTTCTTATGTTTTCTACAACATCCTATTCAATAAAATTTCAACGCAGAAAGCGCATAAACTAAAAACAAAGAGCGAGCGATGAAAATTGAGTACAGTACTCTCTTCTCACACAGCGCCAATAGAAAGGAAATTCATGCTTACATCTTCAGAAGTATAATTAATATTGTTAACAATTTCATTCCCAGGATAAATTTGCCAACCCTCTGAAACCCAATAATACCTCTGCTGCCTAATAAATGAACGAAGATTTATCGTTTTTTTCAACTTGATAGCCTTAGTTTCTATTGCTTTTGCTCTTCTATACCTCATAATGTCATTTGGAAGATATTGTTTGTTTAAAAGTAGAAACGTTAGCAAATGTGAAGTGCTAAACACAATGAATGCGTTTGCGACTTGCGTTATATAAAGTGTTTTTCATACCATCAATCACTTGTAGAAGAAAGGTATATAGTAGATCTGAAATTTTATTAGATAAATCAATTTAGAATCACTTTCTGAATCGATCTTAGCTTGTCTGTCCGTCTTGGTTTCATGTGTTCAACGCAAAGGTTGCAAATTTTGATATAGTTTGATAAAATTTGGCACACCGACGCGTTTTAAACCAAGCTTGAACTTTGTTGAGATGGTTCCTGAGGGACTACTTCTTCAGTCATTTCCCTTATAACGTATTATTTTAAAAGGTCCCCATATGAATAAATTTATTAATGTGATCTAGGGTATTTAATGGTGTGTATGACCTACTATAATGTTTTTGTTTTTATATGATTTTTACTCTAGCAATGAATTGCAAGCTATATATTCATTTACGTATAAGCACGTGCAATCAAATTATATTTTAACGTTCGCTCGTATGAAAGAATTATGAAAATGCACTCACTGTGTTTAGCGCTTAAAACTAATTTCTTGCTCAACATGACAGTTGTCTCTTCTTCTTTCCTATGAAATTTATGTACAATTTCGGTAAAAACAAACGCTGACGCGCGCTTGTTGAACAGTCTGGTATCTTTTTTCATTACAAAGTCGTTAAATTTCCGAGCGTAATATAAAAGTGTCATTCGTTTTTTCGCAAACTTCCATGTGGAAGAGAATTTGCAACCGGTCAGAACTTTAATAAATTTGGTGAAAGATTGCCCACTTTAAGTGTAAAAGTAAAAGAAAAATCAAACGTTTCATAAAATTTTAGTTGAATTGGAGCAAATAGAAATTCTATAAAAGAACGCTGACTAATTAAAAGCGACAAGTCGTGTAGCACGACAAGACGTAGTAAAACGAAAGAAATAAAAGAGAAAAAAATCAATCATTGACGCAGGGAAAAAATTGAATGTGTGAAGTTTGATATATTTCAAGATTTTTTACATTGCCTATAGAAGGTAAGAAATAAAGGAATTTTTGAAAAATTGTACGATTGTACAATTACTTTGTATTGTTACTATAGGAGGAAAACTGATAAACAGATCACACCAATCAATTCCATAAATCAATCAGGCACAGTAAGAAACCTCAATATGAATACTCAATCTATTACTTTGCAGTTAATACAAGTCTTGGAAAGGACTGTATCACCAGGTAAGAGTGAATTTTGTCTTAACAAAAAAAACCCTCTTTCTTTTGGCGCTTCAATTAAATAATCTTTCTGTGTATACCTAAATATGGTTGTAAATGCATGTGTACTTTTTAGTTACATACTTTTCGACTCTAGAAACGTTGATTATATATTTGTGTTTGTATTTGTGTAGATATTTAAGGCCGCCAAGGCAGCTTAGTTATTACTGTATTGCTTTACATTATAAGAAAACAGAGTTGTATCCCTTATGAAATGAACGTGGACTATTTCTGACATATGTATGCATGCACTTTAGATAAGCCTAACAAAACATGCAACGAGTATTTTGAAAATAACGAATTAATATTTACGGATGATTATTGTGTGGACATGAAAAATGCGTCTAATGAAATTTGCGTATGTGTATGCGGAATGTAAAAAAATTGATATAAGTATTGCAAAACATGCTTCAATAATTATCTAAATAAATAAAGTTCCCTTGATATCTCTATAAAAAATTTTATAATTTTTTTTTAATTTGATTAGCAAAATGCTTTAAAATTGATTGCAAAATTAAGCTTCTGCTTGTTCAGTTTCGCTTGTATATCTGGATGGTATCAGTTTCAGTTTTTGAATTTTTTACAAAATACTTTTACTTATAAATATATATATTTATTTGTAGCACATCACCTTAATTTATTTTACTAGTTTATTAATAATAATACCTGTTCAATAAGAATATACAATAACGCTTAATAATTAATAATTATTATTTTCATGCAGATAAAGATGAATTACTATCGGCGAAGAATTTTCTCGAGCAGGCGGCTGAAGGTAATTTACCCGAATTCCTTAAAGCTCTGTCGGATATATTGGTTAATACAACTAACAGCCCGGTGGCCCGTATGGCTGCTGGCTTGCAATTGAAGAACCACTTGACCAGTAAAGACGAAGCAGTCACATTGCAATATCAACAAAGATGGCATAGTTTTCCCGAAAACATACGCGAATATATTAAGAAGAATGTAAACAGTCGAAAAGTGTTGTTTTTATTTGTCCATACTTATGAGTTTATAATTTAGATTTTAGCAGCTTTAGGCACAGAAAACACTCGGCCTTCGTGTGCTGCTCAATGCGTGGCTTATGTGGCAGTAACAGAGTTGCCTAATAATGGGTGGGGTATATTAATACAAACACTGGTGAGCAAAGTAGTCTCCGAGAGCTCCAATGAAATGGATCGCGAGGCAGCCTTAGAAGCTATTGGTTACATTTGTCAGGACATAACAAATGGGGTATTGGAAGATCAATCTAATCAGATACTTACGGCAATAATTCATGGCATGCGTAAGCAAGAGCCGAGTAACCATGTGCGTTTGGCTGCTACCACTGCTCTTCTAAATTCTCTGGAATTCACCCGTGCTAATTTTGAAAAAGACGTGGAGCGAAACTATATAATGGAGGTCGTATGTGAAGCCACTCAGTCCAGTGATAGCCAAGTTTGCGTAGCTGCTCTTCAGTGTTTGGTTAAGATTATGTCTCTTTACTACCAATATATGGAACCGTATATGGCGCAGGCTTTATTCCCAATCACGCTGGAAGCTATGAAATCGGACAATGACCAAATCGCTTTGCAAGGCATTGAATTTTGGTCGAACGTTAGCGATGAAGAAATTGATTTAGCTATTGAAAATCAAGAAGCCATTGACGCTGGACGTGCTCCAACACGTGTTTCGAAACATTATGCTCGTGGTGCTCTACAATTTTTGACACCGGTGTTAATAGAAAAACTAACTAAGCAGGACGAGTGTGATGACGAGGATACCTGGAGTCCCTCGAAGGCGGCATCTGTTTGCCTTATGCTATTAGCTACTTGTTGTGAAGACGAAATTGTTCCACATGTGTTTCCATTTATAAAGGACAACATTGAGTCGCCCAATTGGCATTTCCGTGATGCTGCAGTTATGACATTTGGCTCAATCTTGGGTGGTGTAGAAACGAGCACTTTAAAAACTTTAGTGGAGCAAGCTATGTCTACCCTGATACGTCTAATGTATGATCAAAGTGTGGTGGTACGCGATACCACAGCTTGGACATTTGGCCGCATATGCGATGTAAATAGAACATAGAATGTAAGGGTTAAATAATAACTTTTCATATTTAACAGATTATACCGGAGGCTGCCATTAATAAGAACTTTTTGCAACCGTTATTAGAATGTTTCATACAAAGTCTTAAAGCAGAACCTAGAGTGGCTGCCAATGTTTGCTGGGCATTCATTGGCTTATCGGATGCTGCTTATGATGCCGCCGAAGCTAATCAGGGTCAAACGCCTGAGACCTACTGCTTATCACCATACTTTGAATATATTATTAATCAGTTACTAGAAACAACCAGGCGTGATGACGGCAATCAAGCAAATTTGCGGGCTGCTGCCTACGAGGCGTTAATGGACATGATTAAAAATTCGCCTTTGGACTGTTATGCAGTAGTCCAGCGCACCACTGTGGAAATCCTACGTCGTCTTAATCAAGTGCTGTCGATGGAGTCTCATATCGTCAGCCACAGTGATCGCCATCAGTTTAACGATTTGCAATCTCTGTTGTGTGCAACGTTGCAGAGCGTTTTGCGGAAAGTACGTGAGGAAGACGCTCCGCAAATATCTGATGCCATTATGACTGCTTTGCTTACAATGTTCAGCTCGAGCTCCGGTAAATCGGGCGGTGTGCAGGAAGACGCATTTTTGGCTGTTTCCACTTTGGTAGAATTATTAGGCATGAAATTTGTCAAGTACATGGATGCTTTTAAACCATTCCTATACATGGGCCTTAAAAATCATGAAGAATATCAAGTTTGCTGTGCGGCAGTGGGTCTTACTGGAGATATAAGTCGTGCTTTGAAACAATTAATGTTACCGTACTGTGATGATATTATGGGCTTACTCTTAGGAAATTTATCCGAACCCAGTTTACATCGCAGCGTAAAACCACAAATTCTGTCAGCATTCGGTGATATGGCTCTTAGTATCGGAGGTGCATTTCTTAAATATCTAAATGCTGTATTGGAAATGTTGCATACAGCCTCTCAAGTTGAAGTAATGTCAAAATTGGTATCTTGAATGAACTGTATATGACTATGTATGTTTTCTAGGTTGACCCAAGCAATTTTGATATGCTCGAATATTTTCATGAATTGCGCGAAAGTGTTTTGGAGGCTTATACTGGCATTATTCAAGGTTTAAAAGGTGTCGAACAAATTCCCAATCCAGACGTCTACCATTTGGAGCCTCATCTCGGCGAAATTATTATGTTCATCAAACGTATTGCTCTTACTGGAGATAATTCCGATTCAATGGTGGCTAGCGCTGCTGGTTTTATTGGTGACTTGTGCGCAGCTTTCGGTGCACGTGTGTTGCCGCTCGTTGACGATGTAACCATTACACAATTTATAGCTGAAGGAAAGCGTTCAAAAACATGTCGCACAAAATCACTTTGCCATTGGGCCGCTAAGGAAATTAAAAAGCTGCGTGATCATCAAATAATACCACAGTAAATTCATGTCTAATTTTTGTTTCTCTCCATCGTCTGTAAATCATTCAAATGGTAAGCGCAAATGTTTTGTTTTATAAAAAGTTAACGACACTTTGTCATAACTATGATCCGAAGCAAAATTAATGTTATTATTTTGCAAACATTTTCTTATTTTCATTGCAGACATTCTTCTTCTAATTTTCTTTTATCATTTATTAAGACAAAAAAAATAACAAAATCAAAATTGCATTTGGAGAAAGGGCTAAATATTCTGTTATCATCGTTAGTTATTTGGATTAAAGAGAACAATTCAAAATTTCAAAATAATTCATGAAGCAATGCATAAATTATTTGCAGCCATAAAACTAATACGAAATTAAAACTTGTAGCGTAATTGTTCTGAACAAAAACTTACATTTGCACAATTCCGTCTGATTACTTTTTACAAATCTTGTATTATCTTTTCTCTATCTAGACCTCCGCTTTACAATCTATCATTGCAAATATATAGTCGATCATGTAATAACGTTAATTCAATTCATATTTTTTTATTCATTTCATTTTCTTCTAGTTTTGTTAGTGATCATTTCGCTTTTTTCTTTTTTTCATCTATGTTTCTTACATACCGTTATAAAAAATAGTGCTTTTAAACGATTTTTATAGAAGAAAAGCATTAAATTTTTCGCAAAAGGTTTTTAAAGTCGAAGAACTATTTGCAAAATGCAAAAGATTAATGTAAATTTCATAAATCCAATAATGAATCGTTTAAACATGTCGTTACTTTTAAAGGCCTTCTTGCAAAAAAAAAAAAAAAAAAACAAAAAAACAAAAAAAAATACAAAAATTAACTTTTCCCCCTTTTCATTTGCTATTTTTCTGTTTAAGTTTTGAAAACAGTTTCTTTAAAAATTTATAAATATTCATCAATAGGCGTGGCAAATAGTTATGGGGATTTCATAATTGAAAAAACATCACATTTAATAATTTCTTACTATTTAAATTTCCCGAAGATATCATTTAGACGTTCAATATAAGCGCGCATAGATTATATAATGATGCTGGCTAAGTATGTATTACAAAATTTTAAATCGTTCGAATCGAACATCGAATCTGGTTTAAACTTTCGTTCATGAGCTGAACAATTTCCCTCATTAATAAAGCAAATCAAGTTTTGAAAAGGAGATTAATTACCGTTATTGCAAAGGGAAATATCTTATAACAATAGTTTTATTGCTGGGTCGATAACTGACACTTTCACTTGCTATTCAGAGACACTTTATTCTCTAATGCTTTTCAACGAGAGAAAACAAACGGACCATGTCTGCTACTTAGACTTCATTGTGGATATATACATGCACATAGCACGGGCCCGCCTAAACTTTTTACGGTTTTCATTTTTTACTTTTAATTGATCATAGTATCGTAGCGAAAAGCATAAAAAAACTTGATGGATGGAAACCTTCAACCAATTTCAATCATTACTTTCCTCGAACTGAAAGTGGGGTCATTTTTCTCAGATTAAGTCAATATCTTCTTCGTAAAGAAAGACCTCCGTAAATGTGTTAATTTTGTAATAGATTGCTTTAGAAATTCTATAGACGGTCTCTCTTCATTTGAATGTGGGGAAATGTAGGCTAACGGGTTCTCTCCCTGCTGAATTTAGAAAGGACATTAATATTATTTACATAAGAGACCTTAATCATTTTTGCGTAACGCATACTTCTTCTCTCTCTGTCTTTAAGTTACTACGATTCAAATATTTGAGCCCTTTAGGGCATTACTGTCAGTTGTATCAATAACTTCTCCAGCATTCACGGATTCACTTGCTGTTAGAAAACGTAACAATCTGAGGCCGGTTTATCGTTTTCGATATCGAGTAAACTCAATCGTAATTTGAAAGAGTTTTCATTCGATAGCTAGAAAAATGCATACTTTCTCGACAATTCTCTGCACACTCTACTCGTTACAGCGAGTCGATAATCTACAACTGTCGACTTTACTCGATAAAGAGAATCATAAATCGGTCCCTAATTTCTAACTAAAACAAAGCATTGCTTCTGATTTTAATGATTGATTTGAATAAATCGTGATCCGGACATTTTTAAGAGCTAACCATAGACGGATTTTTTAAGCAAAAGTTTTGTTTAACGTGCAAAGGTTTCTCTCTTGCATATATTGTTTCTTAACATCAAAATTTTGAATTTTTAATTTTAAAGCTTATAAAAAATTTGATATCTGATGTCAAAACAAAAAATATTCAAAAAAATTTCAAAAATAATTCCCATTATTAATTGCCACACCCGACATAATAATAAACGTATTTTAATGAAAGGACGAATGAAAAAAATCGAAGTGTGCTTGTGTATATGTGTGTGTGTCTGATTATACAATTTTATCATCTACATATATAATATAAAACATTTCGTATGTATGGCTGTGTATGCAATTGTGTGCGTTTTACAAAATCGAGTGCCACAGTGTTTTCTTTAGATTTTTAAGAATATAAAAAGAATGCAAGAAAATTTATGTATGTAGGTATGTATGTATGTATGCATGTTGCAAGTTGTGTGTATGTGTGTATGTGTGTGCATGAGCGTGTGTATGTATGCGCGTGTGTGCATTGTTTTGTGTGTTTTATTGAAAATGTGTGCATGCCTATGAGTGTCCATTAATTACTAAAGGTGTACGTGTATATATATATATATATATATATATATATACATATGCCTGATAATTTTTTTCATTAACGTACGAATGTTTAATATTCCATCGTAAGGGTTTCTCTTCCCTGAACTTTTCCATTGTTAAGGATTTTATCCTTTCAGAGAAATGAACGTGTGAATGTATCAGTTCTTTCCATTATCATTTTTGTCCGTTTCTATTTTCCGTTCTCTTTCGTTAATTGTTTCCCTGACATCATTATTTAAGCATAAATTTTTGTGATTGAGAAGACTTAAAATATGCGCGCGTGCGTGCTTGTGTGATATTAATTGTAAGTTAACATAATTCTCTAGTACTTTAAGTGAAGATAAAAAAAAAAAAAAAAATTTTTTATAAAAAAAAAAAAAAAAAAACGAAACAAAAAAAAGAAAAAAATCAGAGAATTAGCCGAGAAACAAAGGATTTTAAACGGATTTGAAATTCGCCAAATGTAACCAGAAATTAAAAATAATAATAAATTAATATAAAAACAAAAAAAAATTGAAACATGACAAAAACTAAACTAAAACTCAACTACAATACGTATTAAAAGAAAAAAAAAAAAAATGAAAAAAAGTGAAACAAATGACTTAACGACGACTTAACGTTCGTACAAATTTAGAATTTATTAAGGTTAACGTAAAAAGAAAAAGAAAAAAAAAACCAAATATACCAACAAAACTAAACGGAATTTTTATACATTTCTTACTACATTTAAGACATTTTTTACACGAATTTTGTTGTAACTTAGAAAAACAAAACTAGAACAACTATATATATGTTTTTTGTTATTATTTATTAATATTAAGTCTCACTAACAAACCAAAATTTTTATTTAAATTTTCACACACCTTTTTTTTTTCTTATTATTGTTTCCAAATTCAAAAATTTTCACATTTCCGTTTTATCAAATCGTAGACAAAGGAAAAGAAAATGACATATATATAAAACGCGTTATCAACGGATCGAGTAGATTTCGGCCGTCCCAACGTTATCTATTAGTAACATTAGTGGTGAATTCCTCTTCTTTTGAAAATTTCCAAATCAAACCAGTAATTATCTAAATTGCTTCGCTTTTGCAGTTACTTTAAAAAAAAAAACACGGCTTCCTATAATCATAAATTCATATGCAATAAGATTTCTGACCAACTTTTTCTCAGTAATGTATCTAACAGCTATAGAAGACCTCATTCTGATATTTGATAAAGGTCGTGCCAATCGGTCTCATAGTAAGTTCGTAATTTTCAAAAAACACGCTCTTTTTTGTGCCCATCAACGGAGAATGAGACGTATATCCGTTATGTGGAAGCGTTTGTAACGCGCAAAAGAAAGCTTCGGAGCCCTTAAATGTTATAAATATTCTTGATCAACACAAAATTCTCAATTGATGAGATTTACGCATGTCCGTCTGTTCGGTGATATGCTTATCCGTTTGTGTAAAGTGTGTTGTAGCCATTCCTCAAGACTTTAAATTTAGCAGAGCCAGTTCTTGCAGAGAAGTCCTTGCACGCAGTTCGGATTCGATACGCCTACACTACCACACAAAGAGAGGACAACCCTGCTTTTTTTGTTTTTGCCCACTACTCATAAATTAAAGCAGATAAGTGTGCAAAAATTTGACTGTGGGCAATACTGAACAAAAATCGAAAAAGTCGGCTACGCCTGCTCAGTTTTATAGCGTGTCATAATTTAATTTTTTTTTTTTTTTCTTTTTTTCAAAACCTTTGCAATGCACAGAAATAAGCTTCAAAGACCTGATAAAGTAAATAAATTTTTGGTCACTTTTTTCAATTGGATACCAAATAAGTGGACTTAGATAGTAGACACCGGTGATGGGTGCAAAAGATTTTGCCGGGGCCGCATACAGTTTTCTTACTTGTTTTTATTTCTCTTTATTTCGAACGCATTTTTTTGTGCCTGAATATGCTACCAAACAATGAATGGGTGTATATCAATACTGTTCCGAGACCTTTTAAGGTATACTCGTTGATGATCAGTCAATCTATCCAGGTCTGTCACTACGTCAGTTTGTTAATCTCAGGGATTTCAAGGACTCGTTAAAGTTAAACTAACATAGTTCTAAAGAAAAACGGAAAACTTCGCATAGATTCTCATTGATAACTTTTAACGCAAATAAGGATCAGATATATGACTACAGTATTCATGTTATGTGTGGGATTGATCTTGATAGGCGACTTGATTTGAGATGACATAATTCGCTAAGAGAAATTCAAAGGTAATGGACAATGTAAGTGAAAAATTATACTTACATTATTTAATAGAATGCCATATGTATAATAATTACATATATTAAAAATTATATGCAAATACTCGCATCATAAGCCATTCCTGACGTTTCTCCCAAAATGTAACTTTGCTAATGCCGTGTCTCATCATCATCATCATCTCAAATCATTGTACAGAGACTTCAAGGGATGACAGTCCACGGATAAATAGAAAAGTTATTATTATATTATTTAGAAGTAAACGTTTTGATCGATTCAGCACTTGATTTCGAATTCTTTTTACTCCTCCTTCCTATTGAAAAAGAAAAGGTTCAAGTTTTGCTTTTCAAACACAATTTAATTAAAGCATTGGCATGCGGAAAAAAAGTTGAGATCTTTCTCAGTCAGAAATGAAATTTTTAGAACCGATAGATAAATGTCCTTTAGTTAAAGGCACATCGCATATATCTCTTAAAGAGAACGTTTTTTTTTTTTCAAGTTCTTAGCAAAATTTTCTTTTAATAATAATAAATTTTTTTAAAAATATTTAAATTATTTGCTACTGTCAGCAGGCAACTGTCTTGTTCCTTTTAACTATAGGAAAATGATCCTAAATAAACAAAGAGACGATATTCGTTCTAGGACTATTCGCTAAATGTTGTTCAAAGAATGCGATAATATTCGAAAAGAAGAATTTTTAACTTAAATAGATTTGGAGCACAGCTATAACGTGCACATTGTAAATACAACGTTTTGGTGATCATTCTTTGTACAATCCATGCCGTAATTAATGTATAAAACTACATTATAAAAAGTCATTACTATAATTTTTTTTTTTTTTTTTTTAGGCCCACAATTTTTTTATAAAAAAAAAAAAAAAAAAAAAAAAAAAAAAAAACCAAAAAAGTAAAAAAATTAATAGAAATAATCATCATTATCATCATTGTTAAAACTTATAAATACTTAAGTGGTTAGTTAAAATACACTTTAAATAGAATGCACTGTAAATACTAAGCTGCTGCAAATGTTATTAGACTTAATTGAGTCGCTGTTGGAGCTTTCACAGCTTGTGAGAAGTGTGTAGACTCTAATGTTTTAATGTTTTAATTTTCCAGTTTCAAGTCTGTCCGGCTTTTTTTTTTTGTTTTTTTGTTTTTTTTTTTGTTAAATAGATAAACACACTCATCCTCGTAGATATGATAGATCGATTAAAACATTTATAGAACAATTATTTATTAATTTGTTAAACAAGTCTTGGAAGTGCACATATGTAGCTTCTTGCTGACATTACAAATAATTCCACTCAGCCGAACGAAGGTTGGCTGCTGAAAAAAAAAAATCGTGTACAGTTTTATTTTTCTTAAAAATGCCTTAAAAAATCCGAAACATGGGTATTTTTCTGTCTATACATGCATACATCTATATATATTTAAGCAATGCTGCTTCCTATTTTGAAAGAAACTATCAAAGTAGGCGCTGATCTACATGAATGGCATTAGCGATATATATAAAATTCCCCCATTACTATACCACCAACTGGTCGTCGTAAATCTTGCAGCAGCATATTTTTCTTTTGCTAAAATAAATTTTTTTTTTTTTTTTTTTTTTGTTTACAGAAAGACTTTCGTTTAAGTGTATTTAGATATTTTATAACATAACACACAAACATATGTAGGACTTACAAATTTTTCCAATTTTGTTCTTTTCTACATACACATACTGAACTCACGCGACTTAACCGAACTGTACTAAAACCAAACAAAAATAACGTAATAGAAAAAATAATAATAAAAAAATATAGAAAAACAAAAATTATCTAAAAATAATGTTAAAAATCGAACAATTAGAGCATTACAAAATATAACCGTTTAAAATCTTTTCTTTAGTGATACTTGAGTGAATAAAAAAAAACTTTTTTCAATAAACTACTTACCTGCATCACCACACTCTAAACACTCTTTGCAATTTCATGAATTTTTCACATTTTTTCTTTTATTATTTACAAAAAAAAAAAAACAATTTTTTTTTACATGTATCTATGCAAGAGATCGCAAATTTAATTTATATGAATATAATCTGTACAATCTATGCTGAATTAGCATATCATGTGTTTTCTCGGGAATTTTCGCTTTATGTCTTTAACATCATTTAAATAAATATCCGTTTTTAAGAAAAAGGTGTGTAATTAAATTTTTCATCTCGTCCATCTCTATTTAATATTTCCATTGTTCTCTTATTATGAATTCAGTCCGTATCTCATAAAAATTGTCGATACATTTTTAGCCTTCTTGTTGTGGCATCAAGCTAATATTTTTATTTAGATTTTATATCTTTTACCGAATAATGCTGCTGAAAACGTTTGTAACATCCGGGAAGGAGTTTCACAAACTCTATACTAATACTGGAATCAATTTAGACTTGTCAGCCTGTCTGTCCGTAGAAGTTGCTGAATGCAGTTTGGTATTAAAAATGCATCAAGTTCTGAATCGATGAAGGCGTGTCGCCACCTATCTCCTCTTGTATGGCTATCATTCCCCTGATTGCAAAATTAGAAGTTTCTGAACGCACGTTTACTATTGAAAATGGCCAAAATCAATTAGAGGGCACGCCTACAACCTGTTATAAGCTATTATTTAACTTGCTTTCTTTTGCCTATTACTCATGAAATAGAATAATTGTAAGCGTGTACAAAAATGGGGAAAAAAAATAAGTGAACACGCAGGCAACATTATAGAGTAGCGAGATTGATTTCATTGTCTTCGAGTTTTTTTTTTTTTTTTTTTTTTTGGTTTAAGTTAAAGTTAAACGTTTAAGTGGAAAATTAAGCCACCGATCGAATATCATTTTCTTGCTTTGTGCTATTCTTCAAAGTAAAAATACAAAAACTTGAATTGGTTACAGACGTCCCTTATATAACATGGTACTTGTAAAATACGGTTTCGATATTACATGGTACAAAATTTGCGGTTACTGTAAGGCAGTTTTCATATAACACGGTTTCAAAAACTTAAATACTTATTCCTCATCACCTAGAAAAATATTTTGGGCGTACAATTAAGTTTTACGATTTCCTTAAAAAATTTTCCAAAATGCGAAAATTTTGCGAAATTTTGCGGATTAATAGGGAAGATATTTCGATGCTTTTGCTTTCTCCCCAAAAAGTTGTATCGTTTACCCTATTGATTATATTGATGCAAGACGAACGAAAGGAGAGAACATTAAAATTGTTTTCTTGCTTTTCATTTTTATTTTATTATTTTCTAAACACATCTTTTTTTTTTTTTTTTTTTTTTTTCTAAGAGTGTGTGTGTATAGTTGGTAAGTTCATTTATCATTAATTTGTATGATTGATTTATGAAAATTTATGTGGTAACATCAGGATATGTGTGCGAAATGATTTGTTTGCTTTTCTATAAAAATAAAATTATATTTGAAAGGATAGCTTTAAGTAATTAACAAACAACAGCAACAACAGCAATAGAAAATAGTGGTATAACGTCGAAAGCGAATAATAACTTATGCTGCACTTGAAGAAGATGTGCATTCTTCTACGTCTAGTCCTTCCATATCACCAGAGATGGACAAAACAACCACCACCATCAATTTCAATCAATTAAACGAAGGCAGTATATTTGTGAGTGTAAGTTTCCCTAAGACTCTTTTTTTTTCCTATCCTTGGTCTAAAAAAAGTCTAAGATATTTTTTTTTTTTTTTGCTTTCGCTCTCTTAAACTTATATTAAAAAATTTTCTTAATCTTTGCAGGTGTCTGTGTGTGATTGTGAACTGCTTGATGTTTTACTTTAATAATAAATATAGTTTTTGTCAAATTTCTTGAAGAGTGAATGATATGATGAGCGAGCCCCCCTAAGGAAACTTACATTTAAATAAATCATTTATCACAAATAATATAAAGAAAAGCAAGTATGACGTGTGTTGTTGTCAAATTTAAATGCAAATGAGCAAATGAATCTAAATGTATTGAGAGTGCTGCTGAATGGCGCGCGGATGTTGTCTATCCATTCCAAGTGTGTTTCGATTAATCAATGAAATGAAAAACAAATTGTGTGACTGCGTTTTAATGCAACAAAGGAAAAAAAAAAATTAAAAAAAACCAAAAAAACTATGTGCCTGCATGAATCTATTATGCATACAGATAGACAGGACCGACAGAATGAATTACAAGTTCGACATGCTGGTAGTAAGTAATAAAAGGTTTAACTTTTTATTTAAGAATAAACACAATAACGGACCAAATGACTTAACAGAAAATCAAAAACAAAAAAAAAAAAAAAGACAAAAAAAAAAAACGAAAAGATATTTTGGAAAATATAAAACAAAGATATCACTGAGAAGATCGTTAAGTAATACATAAAAAACATACTGCAACGAATAAACTGATATACTTTAACGCAATTAATAATTAAGTATTTTTTATCGCTATGATACTAACAGCTAAACAACAACAACAACAACAACCTGGACTAGTTAAGACAGTTTTATCTAATTTTTTTTATTTTTTTATTATTTTTTTTTATTGTATATGAACATGTAGTTTTTGCAAGAAGAAGACGTCTGTTATGTAACTGATGAGTGATGATGATTGCTGTGTATGCATTCGCATGAAATATTATTAACGAATACAATTAAAATAAACAATCTGCTCCGTTGTATGAGTGTTTTAGTATTAAAATCATCAACATTTTCGAGTTTAAATGAGCAAAACTATATAAGAAAATTTAAAATAGGTTTGTGTGAAATCGCGTGCGTTATGGTATGTTGTGGACAAACTTTTAATGAATAAATATATAAAATTTAAGCGATTGTATGATTGTGTGACTGCAAAAAAAAAAAAAAAAAAAAAAAAAAAAAAAACCAATTTCTTTTTTGTTCTTACATTAATTATATTATAACAAAAGACAGTCAAAATCTATTCTTTCTATATCCACCCAAAACATATCTTGGTCTGGCTAATCACTTTTCCCAGTTTCTTCCATCCCCTTTACCCGAATAAAATAATGCTAAATTTCTGCTTAAATTATCACCGTATATAAATTATTTACAAACATATTTACATTTAAGCTACATAAATATTTAAAAATAAATTATATGAAAACAAATTAAATTTTCTTACCTGTATGACTGATAGTTTGTACGATGCTGTGTGTGAAAATAAAATTTTTAGTTTTTTCCTTTCGACGTAAAATTTTTTGTGTTTCATTTAATACATGGATATGGGTTCTGAAAACCACTGCAATATTTGAAATTCGAGGAATTTCTAAATGGATGAAAAGTAGTAAAAGTGGCCAATTGCTACTTACTTTGTGTATTTGTATATGTATGTATATTATACATTTTTGATTGAAGTTTATTAATATCTACTCTTCTAGCGGCTAATCAAAAATACGCAACTCATATAAGAGAGAGATTAAGTTCTTCCAGTTCACCCTAATGTTGCTCAACATATTTATTAAATGCAATCCTTCCCACATATTTGTTAAATGCGAAAGACGCGTAAATCCGAATTGCTTGCAATAACGACGATTCCTTGCAGTTCAATAGTATCGTACATAGTGCATATGCATATACAAATTTCGTCTGTAATCGAAATTTACTGTCATGGAATGGAAAATTCATAAAAAATTAAAATTAATTCGCAAATTTTCTACGAAAATTTATTTTTAAATAATCGAACTACGTGTGATTGTGAAAGAACGCTGTACATAAGTCCTATCTTTACTAATTGTCAAATATATGTGATTTGGCGGTTTTTTACCACAGCCCAACGTCACATGTTAAGTGTTTGCAAAAATTTTGATCATTTCTTCAATTGAAAAATGCATTTATTGAGAACAATTGATACAATTAAAATAATTTCCATCATTTTATATTATTTTTGTCAACATGACGATATCGTGTCGAAAAAACTTATAATGGTCTGGCAACGAACCACCCACCGATCCATTTTCGTACATCTTCAACTTAACAGACACGCATGGCAACCAATCCATGCTGCATCGATCAGAACAAATGGTAATCAGGAGACGCCATGTTGCTGGGTGTGGCAGAAATTTCCATTCGAGCTGCGACAGTGTAACCTGGAAAACTGTTGCAACAAGTGACCAAAATATGGCATTTCCAGTTAATTCGTGTCGGCACTTTTTCAACCTTTGGAATATGATGCACCAGCATCACCATAAACGTGTGATCCTGTTTGATTGGCTTCGTCAGTAAATTTCTTCAAATAAACAACAAAACTAATGGAGTTGAAAGAAGGAGAATTTCGAGCGTTCTATGATTTGTGTTGGCGTGCGCTGATTAAATCGATATTAAATGAAAATCCGTTACACTGGTATTTCCCATTTCTTTATCATTTTTACCTGTGGAAGTCACTGATCAAAGTGTTTGCAACACATGTAGATGTCACGTTTTTGAAGCGTGTTTAAAAGTCTGTGCATCGAAAAAAATTGGTGCAAAACGTTCAAATGACATGAAAACTGGGGTCGATTTATAGCTATCGATGAAGTATACGTTTCACTTAGGGTCGAGTGAAGAAAGCCTCTCACTTTTGCATAAATCAATAGTGGACAACCGATTGGAATATATGTTGACAATTGTTTTAATATATAATATAATAACACGAATTCCATATTGATAAACTGTCTTTATATATATATAGGTTTTTTTTTTTTTCTCTATAATCCATTCCTTCTAACTCAATTCGACAGGTGAGGTACAAGGATAGATCATTGAAATTTTCGCATTTCGTTTGCGGCCTTAAATTAGAAATACACATTCCAAGCTTCAGCTAACTAGCCCTAGTTTTGAGTATTTGTTAGAAAAATGAAGAGTCAGATGGGAGAATATAGTTAGTTAAGAGTTTTTATATATTCAATGCGAGTCAGTACTACGCGCCCTTCAATGTATTACAAACACAAAAATATTAGCCCCAAATTCTTTAAAACATTGCCGTTATTAATAAGATTCTTATGAACTTAAAACTAATCTTAAAAATCTGTTTCTGCTTCTGCTTCTTCATAGCTTTGTTCGAACAGGTAACTGTATAATGTCTTCTTTAACCAAGTTTTTTAGCTCATAGGTGTCAAGCTGCAGTTCTTGAATTAACATATCGAGTGCATCGTCGGCGGCTTCCTTCGAAGACCGTGATTTCGTTTTAAGAGTTCCAGGTGTACGGCTGAGATGTGGCGCCGGTTGCGGTACAGGAATGTTATCTACGAGATCAAAACTTTGACGTTCTACATTGTGTGCGTGAGTCATCGCACAATGCCAATCTAACACTGGATATACACAAGCATCAATATCTTCGAAAATTGCCGACCATTCTGCCTGAGTTTTTTGTAAGAATGCTTCAGTAACACAATCTTTAGCAGCCTGTTTCTCTTCTTCACTATCGGGATACTGTGATAATTGTAATAATCCCAGTTTCTCTTTAAATAATTCAAAGAATTGCGGCTCTAGGCAACCAACAGACATGAATTTCCCATCCTTAGTAGGATATGTATCATAAAAATAGGAACCGCCATCTAAGACATTTGATCCACGTACGCCTTGCCAAAGCAGGGGAATAGAACGTGACATAAATAACCAACTAGCAATATAGGCAGCGCCTTCTACCATACTTGAGTCTACTACTTGTCCCCGGCCCGATCGATGACGTTCCAAAAGGGCTAAGCAAATACCCAACGCACACATAAGACTTCCGCCCGCAAAATCAGCTAATATATTTATGGGAGGTAAAGGTTTTTCATTTTCTCGTCCCAACATTGATAGTACGCCAGATATTGCGGCATAATTTATATCATGGCCGGCACGTGCCGATAACGGTCCACTTTGCCCAAATCCCGTTAAGCGTGCATATATTAAACGAGGATTATCGCGGCAAAGTAATTCAGGACCTAAATACAGTTTCTCCATAACTCCTGGGCGAAAAGGCTCTATGAGTACATCTTGCGTTTTGGCTAAGCGACGTACCAAATTTTGACCTAATGATTTTTTGAGATTTACAGCCAATACTCGTTTTCCATTATTCATACAATTTACTGGATTATCAGGAACCTATTGCAGAATAAGAACTTAAATAAGATATTCCTATATATTTAATTCTGTTTTATTACTCGATCAATGACCGTAACCTTTGCTCCAAAATCGGCCAATATTTTGCCACAAAAAGGTGCCGGAGCCAAACCGGAAAATTCCAATACTTTAATACCTTTTAAAGGCATTTTTGCACTTTGTTCACTGTTTGTACCCGGTTTCGTATTGTTTTATGACTTTGCTTATTTCTGTACAATTTTGCGAATGCGCGAACAAAACAGAAACGTTAGTAAAAGAGAATAGCAAGGTATTGACAAGAAACCATCTGGCGAAAACAATGATTCCGAGTTTAAGCTTTTATCAACTTGTTGCTCGTAATAAAAATGACTTCTCTTCTTTGTTAAATCATTTATTTTTTTTAGTTTTTCAATTTATTTTCCAAATATATTCCTCTTTGGTACAAAATATTAGAGTATATTTATATGTATATGCTAAAAATAGGTTTTCTTTCTAAGTTCGTTCTACACGTATTCATATTCTTTTGAAGCTATTAAAGTGTAAACTAGTTGACTAGATTTTCAATTTAATGTCGATAATGACAACGTTGATGAGATGAGTTCACTTAAACGAACACATTGTCGGTATAAGAAAGTACGATTCTCGAATATCACGGGATCTTCTAGCATAATCTTCATCAACTGCTGAATACAATGCAAATCATGCCTAATATGATAATCGTTGGGTGTATGCGTATTAAAAAAAGCAAGCCTGGAAGACGATGAGCATTGATCGGAGTTTAAAGCAGACCTATTATCTTCGTTGCCGTTTTCGGTGCAGCAATGTAAACGGCGCTCGGTAATAGTTTCTATTAATTGAATAAAATCGAGGTAGTTTAAGCCAAAAGTTGCTCGAAGCATGGTCTGACAGTGTTCATTGAAATTATCCATTTGGCGACAATCTTCGATCTCATTAATAACTTGTTGCATAGCAGCTGCTAAGTTATGCCAAATACGTTCCAAATTGCAAGAATTAAACCAATTATGATTGATCGATATAGTATCCGATTGATTCCATACTTGATGATACCAACCGCTCGGTACAAAAAGTGCTTCATTTTCCGTCTGTAATACGGTAAAATATTGAACTCCTTTCTTTTCTAATAGAGATTCATCGATACGAAAAGGTAAGTTATTTAAATGATCCTTAAGTTTAAGCTCTTCACCGTTCGGTAAAAGTAACCATTTTTTGCAGCCCATTATATTTGTCGACCAGCTAAAAGAGCCGAACACGTCAGCGTGAAAAGGGGTCCTAAGAAATAGAAACGTCTTCCATAATTTATTATTATCTTTAAATTACTTGCAATTTGCTTCCGTACCATGTATCTTTTGGTCCCATATACACAAAACGATAATCGTCCGTTTTGTTGCTTAATAGATACTCATTTAGCCAATCGCTTGCAAAGTGCTTAGGAACTTCGTAAAAATCGTAGTCTGGTGATTCAGCCTTTAAATGCCAATCTTTGAGGTAGAGTATGTCGGTAGTGTTTGTTTCAACATTGCTGTTTTCTACTTTCTCTCGTTCGCATTTCTGTTGCCAGTAATTAAGAAAATCGTAAAATTTCATTTCGCTCTTAGCATGACTGTTGTAATATTCCCTATTACAATTAGCCACCGGTACGGAGCGATTGCCTATCCTCTGCTTAAGGTAGTTAAAATTGATTGTTGCAGTATACCTGTTGCCGTTACTTGTGCCCTGGTAATATTGCAACCAATTTTTGCGGCACTCCCAATTATTGGACACATCTGTTAGTATAACCGGCCAGTTAGTGTTCATAAAATGCCAAAAAAAATCATTATAGCTTAATTGTTTGCCGTCAAAACGTTCGATGCTATTATGCTGACAATGGCTTTCAATTGGCGGATTCAATTCCAACAGCTTTAGGTCAGGCGCCATAGACAGGTTTTCCTTACCGTGCTGAGCTAACGCAGAGGCCTTCTCAATATTTTCAAATAAATGAAAATTTGTCTTTTCTTTTTTTTTATATTAATGCATATTTAATAATTATTTTTATGTAAAATAAATGTAATAAAACAAAATTAAAATATTACAAAACATTGGGCAAAAATAATTGCAATCAACTGTTTTTTCCTTTCCTTCGTTTCCTGGTTGTCGCTAAAGCGATTTTTGAGAAAATTTGGCGACTTTGTTTGAAAAACCGCGATTACGCTTACATTTTGATGGCATTACTTTTGTAGAATTTATGAGTTCCGACAAGATGCTAAAGCAAATCTCATATACTGGTGGCTTTAGTAATAAGCTTTGATTGTGTTTGGAGCGTTGATATTTGCTTTGGAGGAGTTCTCTCACGTTTTCTTTCAAGATTAATGTTACGGTCTAACGGTGCTGTTAAATTTTTGTTAGTGTAGTGTGTACTGTTCCACGGATTAAAATTAATCATTCCGATATTTTTCCATATGGTTATGTGCGTGTGTGTCATTGAAATGTGTTATTGAAATCGGGATTGTTTCGCTTGAATCCATATCTCGAGCGCTTCGAATTACCGGTTTAAAATATAGAAATGTATGTCATTGTTGGTGCGAGATCTGAAACACTAACAGAAGAGAGGAAATAATACTTTTTCCTTTTTTGTTGGCGACTTACGAACGTAGATGACGTTAGTCTGCTTTTTGGAACGCTAAAGGTAAAAAATAAAAGCATTAAAAGTCGCAATAATACAGATTGAAATATATCCTCAGGTGATGAATCAATCTTGAAAATGAATCCTACCCATCCATAATAAAGAAAAATTAGAATTAACCATCCAAAGCAGAGGTGACTTTAAACCTTGATTCAAAGTATTTATGGAGATTATTCAGAAGTTAAATTCAATATTGGATTTGGTCAATTCACGGATATGTCCACATTAAGCAAAAAATTTCAAGGGAATTCGGAAATGGAGAAGCGTTATTTAATCATATGGAGAGGCTTTGAATTATTAAAAATCTTTGCAATTTATGTGCATTGGCAGACAAAGCAATACCTCCTCCAATCTGAAGAAATTAAAAAAAATTCAAGCGATGATATAAGTTTTGAAAAGTTATAATGATCGGGAAAGCCAAAGAAAGCACTACCGAAGGCGCCTTATGAAAGCTTAGTTAGACAAAAAAATTCTACGTAAATCGTTAAAGCGCGCGTTCAAACGCATCTCTCTCCTGTTTCTCGTTTTCTATTAACAGTACATGACGCTTCATACGCTTCATGATTTATACGCATTCTTATGAGAGATTCTTAATCGATTTAACCTTATCTATGTATTGCTCTTGTTGGAACTCTTAAGATAATGAACTGAAACGTATCTTTCCAATCGATAAAAAAGTATTTAAAATGGTCAATGACGTTCCCAACCTTGAGTAACGACTGGGAAAAGATGTATATTTAACACACCCGTGGAAATATTTGATCAAATACTTGCTCTGAATATTTACTTGAATGGGTTAAATGTTCAGAAAAAAAGTACTTCTACTTGGCTTATTTAAGTGTTCAATACTAACGAGAGGCTGAGGCTGGAGCTGCAGCCCATATCTAAGACGAATATATGTCATCTATTGACCCGCCGGCCTCTTTGTTTATTACTGCGGCAGGCAGTCATAATCTTGTAAAGATATCCGAATTTGATTTCTGTCCTATATCCAACTTCATTAAAAAGATAAAATATAGAAATAATCGTTGATATGGAAAGCATATCCTTCGTTCGCATAACAGCTTGTTTTCAATCCTTCATACGGACACCTTTTTCAATCAAAAAATTCTGGTCAGCGCTGTTGTTAACTAATAACACGTTTCTTTTACACTTATCTTGCTTGTGTTCAAACTTTCTCGCGCCCGTTTTGTTAAATGTCGACTTTGCCGCAGAGAAACTGCATTGCTTTAAATATCAATTATCAGGTGTATATAATTTGATCCCATTCAAAATTTGCATAAATAAAATACATTAAAAATGTACTCAAAGCTTTAAATTACAAAGCTTTGAAATTGAATTACGTTGCACACGGCACCACATTAAGTTTATTTCTTTAAAGGAAAAGGAAATTCCCTTTAAATTACGCGTCTGTTCGCATGACATCTGAGTGAGAGTGAGTTCTTACCTAAACGAATTTGATAAAATTGTTGTTCCGGTTCGAGATCGAGTCATAATAATTTGCGTTTATTTTAGTTTGCTGAATTTTTTCTAATTTCTTCAAGTGGCTATAAGATGTATTCAACTTTTGTGCTATGTTCCGCGATTGATGGACATTTTGCCTTAATATTGTGTTTAAATCGTTTCTGTCAAGACCAGAAGGGCCTTAATAGTTGGATTGTCCTTTAAAGTCATATCTGCAGAACGAAATTTGGCAAACCAATTCCTAACTGCCCGATCATTTATTAGACTTTCACCGGATACAATGCATATTTTTTCAACTGCGTCGCTTTAGTACTATTACCTTATTATGGCGTTGAAATCTCCGAAGCATCATATGCTGACTATCGATTTTTTCACTCCGGTTATTAAAACGTGCCCCGCAAAAAATTGTTGTGAACAGAACTGAACCCTTATCTAATTAGTAAACGCAAAAACTTTGTTTGCCCCGGTGACACATTAGGGAGATACGAATATAGACTCTATCTACTTGTATCGGAAGTTATTTAAGACTTCACTTATAAAATAAAAACCTAGATCTTCGTGATCACTGTGGGAATCTAAGTAAAAACACCAGTTTACCCCAGTGACTTATAATAGGCGAATACGAACATACACTCGGTCTATCTCTATCGGAAGTTATTTAATACTTCACCTGTATAACCTGTATATCTAGACCTTTTGATCAGCGTAGAAATCTAAGTAAAAAAAAATGATTTCTCTCGGTGACTTGTAATAAGTGGACACGAACATGGATTCTATTTACCCTGAAGTTATTTATAACTTGCCCTGTATAATAAAAAGTCTAGATCTTTTTGATTAGCATAAGCATTTAGGTAAAGCAAATACTAAACTTGATTTAGTTTCGTAAACGTTCGTAATTGACCCCGAATTCGTGTATGAAGGCTAAAAATTTTAAAAATATATTTTTAGATACACGATACAGAAGTACGCATGTTCTTTTTTATACAAACTTTAATAAAAATAATTAAAAGGATTATTTACAGTGAAAAAATTGCCAAAAATTGTTAGATGAATTGTTTATTGTAATTAATTTTAATAGTTGATGACGAGAGCTTGACTGTAGTAAGTCTGTGTTACATCTACTAGATCTACTTTTCTATTACACTTCCTCATATAAGGGATCTTATGAAAATTGAGTATTTATAAAGTAAGGTTTTGATAAATTAGAACGAAGATAGATGAAAAATTATATCAGACATAGTCTAGTGTAGGGTATTCAGTACTTGGCCTTACTCGATGATAACGTTTTTACTTGTTATACTTATTGGTGTTATGTTTATCCAATATTTTGCTCTAATTCCGCACTGAAAAAGTTTCCTATAAAAAAAGCATGGAATTACCTTTAGATTGAAGAACATTAAAAAAATCAAGGAAATACCAATGAGCGTAAAATATGAAGATACTTGAAAGAGCAAAAGCTGAGCTCTTAAGTTACGCGGCTCAAGCGTATTTATTGAATAAGTTTATTAATTATTGCTCAAAAGCCGTCACGCAAGACATTGAAGATCAGGCAGCATCTATAGTTTTCGATAACATAAACTTTGCTTCCTTTGCGTTCAGTTAAAGAGTAAACAAAAAGAAAGAGAAAGAAAAATCAATTAGGGTAGAGTTAAGACAAAAGAGTGCATGTAATATACTAGTATGCTAATATAAGTGAGCGAATGCTGAAATAAAAAAATTAATTGAAATATAATTCACCGTGAATACACTAAATAAGAGAGCGAGAAGAGAGAGACAATAATTGCCAATCAAGCTCAAAGTGCTAAAAAGCATGTTAAAAAGCATTTTAAAATGCTTTAAATTAGCACTTGCATAGCCAGTTTTATTAGTTCAGTGAAGCTTATTAAAAGTGCGGATCGAAAATATTTATTAGTTAATTAGTTACATCAAAATAAATTATTTTTGCAAAATTACAAGCTAAATTATTCAATAATATTTTGCATATAAAACAAAAGATGAATTTACTGAAATTGTGTTCCTTCATTATACCATTATTGGCATTTTGCATAATTTCGGGCAAATCTCGAAAAGCAGATGACTTAATAGAGAATCATTTCGATCGTTTCCAGCAAGGTCAAGCAGCAGTGCCTGCTAGATGGCCAGAACAAAACCAACCAAAATCGAATGCCGTCAACTCACTACATGTTTCAACAGATCGTTTTGCTCGGCCGGAACCAGTCGATGAGCGAATTGCCAACGTAATCGCAAAGAATATTTTAAATTTTTCTCAGCTCATCGGCGCTCAATTGAATTCTTTAGAACGGAGTGAAATTTTTTCACCACTTAGTATTATGTCTGCTTTATCACTGCTTACGTTAGGCGCCAAGGGTAGAAGTTATCATGAATTAAAACAATTGATTGGCCTTGATAATGACAGTGTATTGATGAGTAATCCGCAAAAGTTTTATAGAGAGTTTGCTTTAATGCTAGCAGAAATTCAACATAGGTACGAAAACGAAGCTGAAGAGAGCACGCGCAAGCAGCCGAATTGGCGCACAACAAATATTAATGCTTCCCCCATGCGTCCAACAACGAACGGACGTAATAAGCCTGAGCATATTGTCAGAATTGCAAATGGACTTTTCATACAAAATAATTATGCCTTGAATCCGCATTACAAGTAAGTCAAATAAGAAAAGGGAAAAATTGAACTATTGCTGCAGTAAATATAAGAAACTCTATAGATATTTTCTGCCTCATCAATGGCAGGGAAGGATAGAATTAAACAGCATATGTTGTCAGTCTCCCACGACGAAACGAAAGAAGTTAATCAGAAGTTTTCAGTCTGAGATCTTTTCTTATATTATTAAAAACAATATCAGATGATTATGGAAAAAAGTTTTTGATATTAAAAATAATCTAAAAGCTAAAAGCTTGATCTAAACAACAAAAGAGATCAAAACGTATGCAAACGATGCTACTTATTAATGAGATTAATATCGCAAACTTGCTAAGCTTTATATTCCGGTTATTACCGTGTAGTATAACGATTCACAAATATCATCAAAACACAAAACTGTATTTTCATAATGAGACAGGTATGCACTATATATTGACGAGTAGTGATATGCTACGCTCACTTAATTATTACAAGATAAAACAAGTAAAAGCACTATAGTGGATCAAGGCCGACTATTAAATACCCTACACCATTCTACAGTTATTTATTTAGACTTTTAGAAGTGGTCCGAACCATTGTCAATACGGAGTTATATGGGGAGTGGTCCAATCCAGAACGACCATTTTTAATAGCGTTCGTCCTTGGAACTGCGCCCTGAACACAAATTTACAGAGATAGACATCAGATAGGCGGACAGACAGGCTTAGGTGGGTCTATCTTAAGTTCTTCTTCTTATTCTTAAGTTCTGCGCGTTACACACGTCCGTAGATACTTACAAACACTTAAGTGGAATGGTATGTAAAAACGAAAGGTGACTAAAAGCATTTCAAAGACGAGGATATATTAGACTCTTTTTATAATTTCAAAAGCAACGCGTTAGAGATTTCATGTAAAAGACGTATTTTTAAACAGCGCAACATTTCGAAACAGTTTATAATCTGTTCTGTTTAGTTCTTCGTGTGTTCGTCTAATACTATTCTGGATCAAAACGCCTCACTGTACCAAATTTCATCAAAAATACTGAAAAATTGCGGTTTGTCGGTTGAACACTGGCAAGCTTGGTATAGTAAAAGTTGAGTCCATATCCAGTTCTTCTGTGTGTTGTATACATCCGTACAAACTTTATATAGCCCTGTACTACAAGTGGTATAAGAAGTGCCTAAGACTATGATTGTAACCAGCTAACTAACATGTCCCAAATACTTTAAAAACTTTACTATCTACTGTTTTAAAGTCTCCTAATACTAAGGATAATGTAGCTTTTTAGTCGATGGACCCCGTACGATACGTCTCTTTAAACTAAGTGCCTAAGTCACCTCAAAAAATTTCGCTAATCAAAGGTATATTTATTTCGTGTTATTCGCGACTTGTAGTGTGAAAGCTCCTATCTTATAGCAGATATAAAAAGGAGGGAAGGACCAGTTAAAAAAAATTTTTTTGATAATTTTTTTGAATAGAAGAAAAGGTAGCATTGCGACAAAAGGAGGTATGGAACAAATATACGAAAAACATATGAATTCAAATACAAATATATATTTGCTCCATATCTCCTTTTGAATTGAACACAATTTCGTATATTTGCTCCATACCTTCTTTTGAATTGAAAACAACCTGGGAAGCTTACTAAGCTTACCAGTAAATACTATAGAAAAATTGTTCTAGAGAATATGTTAGCAAATGGTAGTACCGAAGCCAGTCTGGAGGCGCCTTTAACTCAAGCGCTCTACGGCAAGCAGTGTAAATATTGCAAATTTGGACTTAAACCAATAAAACCCTATGCTATCTACAAGTTTATCTCTAATGAAGCAGTTAGGGGTTTTGAAATATACTAATTTCTGTTTAATTGGGGCTTGAGGGCAAAAGTACAAGTTACGACCCAAAGGAAGTCACTCTTTTATTAATGGAAAATGTTTAATTAATTTATCGATAAAATCCTTCGTGTTTTAGTGGAAAATGTTGTTTTAAAAATGCTGTAACATATTGGAATGAAAAAAATGAAAATTTTTGAGGTTATGCTGCTTGCCGTTTTCAAAAAACGTGTATCTTCGAAAAGCGAAACTTTTGGATCATTTAAAGTTTTGTCACGTCTAGTGTTGTCTTCTCATTTCATCATTAATTCTTTGGGGGACTATTATTTAGATTAAAAAGGTATTGCAACGTTTTTTTTTCTCTTATAACAGTTGGAAAAATTATGTGAATCATTTCTTGTTTTTTTTTGAGAATGATTTAAAGAATGATTTAATCAGTCTGAATCAAGAACAGGAAGTATTACTTTATTTGTTTTGTTACATTAAACAATTACATTGAAATTCTAAATAAAAATAAATATAATTATAATTGCAATAAATAATTCAGTTCTGAACTGTCAGTTAATTGTTATACCCTACACCTCGTGTGAGACAAGGGTACCTTAAGTTTGTGCGGCTATATGTAGCACCCTGAAGGAGTTCAGATAGAACAAACTTTTATTTCATGGATATAACTTTGTCTGTCTGTCCGTCTTACATTCTTGTGTCCAACCTTCAAATCGAAATTTCTCAGATTCTTTTATCCAATTCGGCAAACTTTGGCTTAAGAACGAACGCCGTTATAAATGGTTCGAATCGGACTACATATAACGGTTCGTTTTGAAAAGTCTTCACGTGAATCACTGTAATAAGCGAAATGGTGTAAGATATTTAATGGTACCCTGCAGTGCATTGTAATGCTTTTATTTGTTTTAATTAGAAAGTGAAATTGCTTGCATGTGCACTTCGTTAAGTAAAAGTATTTGTTAAACTGCGAAGTTCAGCAGTAAACATGCTTGGTTATAGGTGCAGTGCTTTACTCTTGCTCGACATAATCCTGTAATACGGCTTTTTTGAATTAAAAATGAATCATCATCTTGATCATAAAATTTGGAAGTCTTGATTGCAAATTGATATCAAAGATCAAATGAATAGAAATTACTTTAATTTTTTTTTTTTTTTTTTAAATTAATTTGCTATGTAATTGCTGGGGTTTTTCCATACATTTGCATAGCGTATATATACATATATATAGGCTATATATATGGATATTAAAAAAAACAGGAATGCTTTATAGACATGTGATACAGGATGACGTCATATCAAGATCCATTTAAGAGAAATTTTTCACAAATAAATCACAAAAATGATAGAGTAAGCTGTCAAATGGCAGAACTACTTCTCTTACGTAAATGGAGACATCAAAAAGTCTCTAAGGTATGAATTGAGTTCTTAGGATCTGTTATCATTAATTTCTCCCTTGTTTGCTAAATATTTAGTTGATCTTGAATACTTGACACCCACCTCTCAAATCTGTAGATAATACATACATAGAGTTTGTTAATTATTAGCGCATTATTGCCGATCCGGATAACATTTAATAATAAAAAAATGTTTTTTTTTCTTTTGCAGGCAAGTTGCTACATCACTTTATGATTCCGATCTAACACAATTAGACTATCAACACCATCCGACAGTATCGCGCGATTACATTAACGCTTGGGTGAACACGAATACGCACGGGAAAATAACTAAAATTATTAACGGAAATATTCCTGCAAATACAAATATGTTGCTTGCTAGTGTTTTATACTTTAAAGGTTTTTGGGAAACTTCATTCTTTCCAAGAGCTACCACTGAAGAGAATTTCTATCCGGATGGACTTGATAAGCCACCAATAAGGGTGCAAATGATGGCTACAGGTGGTAGGTTTCCCTTTTACGATGCTAAGGAATACGACTGCCATATCATAGGCTTACCTTACAGCGGCAATGAGACAACTATGTACGTTATACAGCCCAATAATTCGACACGTCAAAAGTTAAGAGAAATGCAATACTTTTTGGATGCTGAAAAAATCGATAATATGATAGATAAAATGGTACGCAAGACGACGGTAATGGTGTTTCCGAAAATGCATTTCACGCAGGATTTCAACATGAAGAGCCTTTTGCAACGTCTGGGTGTCAAGGATATATTCAATAGCGCTACTAGTGATCTGTCATTAATAGGCGATATAGCTCAATACAGTCATAATGCACCGTCGACAAATAATTTGCATACAATACAATCGCGAAGACCAACAGTTGGCATTTCTTTAGAACAAGAACATCTGGACCGTTATAACGAGCCCGCTTTAGTGTTTAGCAACAGAAATGGTGAATTCGATGAAGCTTTTACAAATTCAGAAACTAATACAAAAGAAACTACAATATTAAGCAGAATACAGAGACAAGCTAACTATTTAAATCCAGATTTCAACGCTGACGCTTTGGTGAACTTGGAAGAACAGCGCAATAGTGCACAAAATTATCGCTCAGACTTATTTGTAGATGAAATTATACATAAAGTAGATTTGTCCGTTGACGAGCAAGGAACTGAAGCAGCTGCTGCCACTCTTACGTATTTACATCGTTCCGGTACAGATGTAGTTTTTCGCGGAGAAACTCCTTTCCTTATACTGATACGGCACGATCCTACCAAGGTAGTACTTTTCTACGGCATCATTAATAAGCCAGAATTATAAACTTTTCCGACAAATCCCGCGTTGAAATGGAAATGAAGTCTACGTTACGTTTACGTTATATGTTAAATTAACATTTATTGTAATATGTTTTTTGTAAGTAAATTTAGGCACTTGCGTCATTTATAATTATTAGTTTAAAATAGCTTTTACTTTCTTATACGACTGTAATTTAGTATTTTAAGATATTGAAGCGATGTAAAAATTAAAATTTAATCAAAAGAATCAAATGCGTCTTTATTTAACTGTATTTGTTTTTACCGATTATTCCCATTTCATATATTTTTCTCATATCATTTATTCAATTGATTAAGAAGAATTTTTTTAGTCAGTGAGAAAGCTTTAGCATGAAGTACTTAGAAATTCACGTTATTTGATAAGATTTTTAAGTTTCCCTCGCATATACATACGTAAGAATAATTAAATGCAATGAAAAATACTTTATATATAAAAATAAAACATTCCTCCATTCATTATCAAATTTTCAAATATAAGACAAGCAAAAATCCCAAAACATGGAGCGTGTATGAAAGCCTTGCTGTTCTGGCAGCACACTTTCTCAGTTTCTATAAAAGATTATAAAAGAATGCTGAAGCTTTAAAAAGACGTATTTCTGATCCGATTTTTTAACCCAAGTTACAGATTATGCTTCTATTTTACATACATTTTGCTTATTATTTTGTGTATTCTTTGCTTCGCAGAAATCCAAATTCTCTAACATTTTGGCAGAAAGCGAGTGGTGATCGGCCAAGAAAAATATGAAGAGCGAGATGTAGTCCATGGGAATCAAGTTTTGTCAAACCTTTTTGCTATCTTTAGGACTACGATACATCTAACATATTAATCCTCTTTTAGTAAATTGGCATTCGGAAGTCTCGAGCCAAACAATTCGGCAGAACGATATGGAGTTGTCTTAGTAATGCCGATGACACTATAAAATTTCAAATATCGTTCTTCCTTTGTAAGGATGTGAACATTGGGATATTTCAGACTAAGCCTTCTAAAATAGTGTTGACTCTTCAGCTCTCTTCCACTGTTCTAACTTTTTTCCTAAACTCAAGGTTTTTATCCTTTCTATCCTTGCACAACATTGCCCATATCTTATGGCAAATATGTAAAAATATTATACTACTATTACGTCCAAAAACTGCGAGCAATTCGTGTTTTCCTTTTTAAATCTATTCCGGTTTGTTTTTGCAAACAGCTTTATGCAAACGACGCATAACACAAATAATATTCCTGATTAGAAGTCTGGCCATGGGAAGAAATTCATAGTTTACAATATAATACTATGATAATCGAAGAAAACTGTTAACATCATCTGGATTTTGAACGATTTTGGTGTTGTTTTTTTGGTCTTGGCTCACCTTTTGCACGATATTTGCTCGATCGGCCGGTTGCTTCCGGGTCGTATGCGTAAATCCTCCTTTTATCCTCTTCCTTTATAGTGCTTTGCTCAATAAAATCACACCGTTCAGCGTAGAATTTTCAAGGAAAAGAAATTACGTTTGATATTACCACTGTTTTAATATCTTCTGAAAACTCCTTTTTTTATATAAACATATATTTATTTAATAACATCTTCGTCTATTATTATTTTATCTCTCCTTCTGCCATTCAAAACAATTGTTAAAAAACGATTTTTTTTTTTTAATGTAGAGATCTTCGCACGTATTATTTTACCTCCCCTTCTTCCGTTGAAAAAAATTGTCAAAAAACGACTTTTTTAAGGCTGGTATTTATATCATTGTGTTTTTCAAGAGAAATTTCTTCAACATTTCCTTGAATAAATAGTGTTCGCAGTAATTCTTCCTATTTGATATGCCAAGCAAATGCCCTCTTAAGCCATATTTAATATGTAGCCAAAATTTCTTTTCAAAATTAGTTTGTTGTACTCTTCGAAATCTTCGAATTCAACTAAATATTTCGTAAATCTATCGCAAAGTCAAAATATCATTGATATATACCTTCAGCTAAAAACAACGTTCGTTAAAAGTGTGAAATTGAATTAAAAAAAACAATTTTATCCTTTAATATAGAATTTCCTGTATAAGCACCAACATATAGATGCTATTTTTATATGTTATCATTGAAGACGAACCATAAAGCAGAAGAAATGATGCGAACGTGAAATTAAAAATAGGGAATTTGTTATGTTTTCCATATTGAACATTTTGAAGATTAGTAATAATATTAACAGTTATATGTTATACATACAAAATTATGGCAAATAGTCCAATTAGCAATAATTCTAAATAATGTAAATAAGTAAATATGTGCGCAAAACGAAAAACAAAAATGAAACAGATAAGGTACGAAACGAAAGAAACAAAACGAAAAATTCACTCCCGTAAACTAGCGAAAGGTAGTACTTGTATACTTCTGTATACTTCAATAAATTCTTCTCCTGTAAATTATAAACGAAGTAACCATTAAAGATGAGCAGGCAAAAAAGATTTATACATATTTCTATAAATATGAGCAGGTACTTGCTTGGCTTCCAGGTGTGAAAACATTGTGAAACCTTGCCGGCTGATCAGGCTTTTCATACCGCAAATAGTCAACATGATGCAGGCTCATGCAAGGAGGCGTTATTTCGATTTCCGACTTTTTACAAAACTTTGTGGTAAAATATAAAAATAAGGTATTGTTGATTCAAAGTTTGTATTCAGAAAAAATAAAGTTTTGAATCATACAATGCAAGAATAATATTTGAAAAATTATGTTTCTTAATAAAGTTAATTTGCCTTTGTTGGTTTTTGTCTTCCTGGCGATTACGCCTGAAATGCCTGAAAATTTCTATACGCTCATTTGCATTGTTTTCAATGCAGTCAACTTAAATTTCAAAGCCTAGCCGAACGCAGTACAGTGTTGCAATAAACAAAATCAGCATTGCCACATCGAAAAAACGTTCATTCGCACGGATTGTTTACAAATTTGTTCTAATACGACGACTTTTGCTTTTCCAAAATTCTATGGAAAAGCTGAGGAAGTATTTGTTGTTAATAAGGATATCATACGTTTGAAAAAGAAAATAGTTTATATATAGAAAAGTTTCTTACTCTTACAGTGTTAAATAAAGTGTAAGGTGTGCATAGATCATTAAAAAACAAATTTCCTGAAGAAAATAAATATGAGTAAGACATAGGTGGTTACAATGAAAGTGCACAAACTCATCGGTATAATTATTTCCAGATTACTTGCCAGATTCAGATAGCGAAGATGAAATGCCGCCCGGCTGGACAGAGCAAGTAACAGAAGAAGGCATTGTCTTGTATCGCAAGTAATTTTATTCTGCACGTCCTTTCCTTTGTACACTGGCGCTAAATTTCTTTTGCCATTTGGCTGCAAATAGCAATCAAACGGGCTGCACACAGTGGACGCATCCACGCACGGGGCGGACGAAAAGAATTTCCGGCGATTTACCAATTGGTTGGCGGATGTCCTATGATGAAAAATCTGAATGCAATGTATTTTTTAATACGGAAACAAAGCAAACCACTCTCGTCGATCCGAGGCTTGCTTTTGCTGTGGAAGAACCACCTCGCACTATATCGCAAGTGCGACAACGATTTGATGGTAGTTCCACTGCTTTGCAAGTACTGCATGGCAAAAATTTACATGGACATGTGGCCGTAATTACTGGCGCTAATTCTGGTATAGGATACGAAACAGCTCGATCTTTAGCATTTCATGGCTGTGAAGTGATATTTGCTTGTCGTAATAAATACTCAACTGATCAGGCAATTGAACGAATTGCCAAGGAAAGGCCGGCAACACGGAATCGCTTGCGTTTTGCTCAATTGGATTTGGCCTCCTTCAAATCTGTTTACCTTTTTGTAGAGGACATTAAAAGCAAAGTGAAGTGAGTAGATAAATTATAATAGAAATATGTAATATATCAAGTAATAGAATAAATTAATATTACAGACACCTTGATTATTTAATACTCAATGCTGGTGTATTTGCTTTGCCTTACACTCTAACGGAAGATAATATAGAAACTACATTTCAAGTTTCGCATTTATCTCACTTTTATATCACATTAGAATTGGAACCATTATTTGACCATAAGACACGCGTTGTGGTATTGTCTTCAGAATCCCATAGGTAAGTAAACTGGATTTATCTGAAAAGAACCGATAGAACTAGAAAAAAATTGTAGATCTAACATATCATTTTTTTAAATATCCATTGCTTTCTACACAGTATTGGTATTGATTTCAGCTTCAAAGTCACTAGGAGTAGGATAATTGTTCTACATTTACGCAAAAGAAAAGAGAAATCAAAAGGTCTTATTAATGTTTGAGGTTTTAAGGAAGGAGGAAGGAGCCTTAAAGAACATGGCAAAATCTTTATTTCATAAACTTTTTAGAAAGAAATTCGAGCGGTGACTACTTTAGCAAAGCAATCTTCAGTTTTGCGTGGTTACCTGCTTTTTATTTTAACGTGCCCTTTGGCATGTAAAACAAAAAATCACAACTTTCTTGAAAATATAATCCAAAATTTAGTGAGCAATGGGACATTTTCCCACAAATTGATTTTGAAAAAGAATAGATTTGATTTGAGTTCTAGGTTATTTTCTGTCAAAGGAATGAAACTTTGAAATTGTATTGAAATAATATTGGATGCGCCAATTTTCGTTACTGGCCCGCATGCAAGAGTGTAAATTGGGACGAGATGTCCTCATTTTTGTAACAAAGAAAATGCTTATCATAAAGATTACCACAAACCTGTATGTTTATACTAGAGAAGATATCTGAAGTTTTTTTGTGGATGTCGCAAACGTTCTGATGGAACCTTACCATGCAACAGCCTCTTTGCGAAAAAGATAGTGGAAAGAGCAGACTGTGGAATCTATGAACCGATTTATCTAATTTCCAAATCCGGAGAAAAGGAAGCATTTGAAAACAGTTTTTTGATGTTAAACAAGATTTTATAATTATATCGTAATATATGTAATCATATATCTAATTCAACAGAGGAACGTAAGTGAGGCGATTTTTTTGTATGCGTTGATATGAGTGCATATTGTCCTTGAGTTATTTCTAAGAGCCATAAACATTTGATCACTTTGATACAGCTTCCTACAGGAAGTGTAAAATATATTACGAAAATTATGTTTTTATGCATTAAGTGAAAGAAACGGTGAGATAGTATAACTTGTACAAGAGAATCTATTATTCATATATTGATCATTGTAAGGTTTTGATTTGAATCTGCCGCATTTGTGTGCATATCTCTCAATTTTTCCCAAGCTTAGAAGTACGTATGTACTTAGAACAAACCTGGAAATGGCCGTAAATCTTTCGCAATATTTCTAAAATTCTGCTTGTACTTGTTCAAAATAAACGCGCATCTTCAAAGTCCAGCCCAAGTCTGCACTGTAAATGTTTAGTTCTTTAATAACGTATTACACACACTTGACAATTTATAACCACACTTAAATTGTAAATATAGTCACGAGTGTTCATTACATAGAAAATTTTTGGAACTTAAAATGCGCTGCGCATTTACGTTTGTTAAGCAAAGCAGATAAGATATATATATATATATATATATATATATTTTGTGCTTTCTTGTGAAGTCAGTTCCCCAACTGATAAATA